TTAACAAGTGTCTAGATATGAAGGTGAGTATTTATGGTTGAAAGTTATTTCTTTGTATATCAACAGGTATTTTGTTATAGATTGAAGAGGATGATGGAGTTTCCAGTATGGTTATGATGTGCTGAAGTAATAATGAAAGTTGTAGAGGATTTGGTTGAAATTACAATTGTGGAAAAGGAGGCTGAAGAATTCATGTTGGAAGGTATGTAAAAGGGAGTATGATTTGAGGGATCACATGGATAGCCATTGCAAGGAGTTGAAGTATGAGTGTGGAGTTTGTAAGAAGAGGTTGAAGAGTAGGACAAGTTTGTCCAGGAGGCCCATCAAAACCAGTACTCTTTCATGTGTGTGGAAGGAACTTCATACATGCATCAACTTTGCAGACACACAAGCTGCTGGTGAATGAGAAGGAGAAGAAGTTTGGGTGCTTGAAATGCAAGCAAAGTTTCAGTCAGAAGATTGCTTTGCTGAAGTATATGTTGAGGATGCACAAGGCTGAGAGGAAGTTTCAGTGTGATTAAGTATTTGGACAAGTCCAGGCACATCTCGAATAAGCATCTGGGGAAAGGGGAGTGACGCGAGTGCGGTTTGGCAATAACCCGAAGATTTAGTGCTCTATTTATTTGAAATCATTCGTTGGATTTATGGGACAATCCGATATTTATGGGCGATGAGTTTTCGATTCTCCTTCCTTCGCGCAATACGAATTGGGAATCACAGGCGATAATTCAGATGAAAAACGCGATGAAAATACATTTCCCCTCTGCTGCCGCCTTCTACGATCGGTGAAGAGGATAGGTAAATTTCCGCAGGATGACGCAAGTGGATACAGTTGGTACAACCAAAGTTTTCACGGCTAGGAGAGAAGAAGAGTTCGGATGAAAAGTGTGTAATATTTTACAGTTGGCAATACAAATTTCTCTTTCGTTGCGCATGGATCTGAAAAAAATACCATGCAGCTTTGGTAGTCCTGGATTTCCCGCTCTACGTCTGGCCAACATATTGACAGGACTCGTAGAAAAGGACGGAGAAGGCTCTGCGTTTGACGTTTCCGCGTTTTGAATGCGTGTGTAATCTGCTGTGATTGTGAAGGGAGTTCAGTTAAAACCATCGTTTTGAGCTCTGCAGAAGCACCAAAAGCTCACCATCTCTGCACCTCAAAACATCTTCAATTGAAAGACACCTTGTGGCATGCTTTGCTGTTGATCAATTCTTGCTGGTGCTGCAGTTTTCTTGAGGGGGACAAGTAACAACAGAAACATGTAAGTAGTAATCAAAGACTTCTCTTCTGAATCAATACTCCATCGATTTGTGTTTGCATGCACCATGGAGTTGCACACACACTGTACAGAAATAAAATCTCATTAATTGGCAACAACAATAGTACATTAATTCACCTGTGGTTCTGCCTCGATCAACAAAACACATTTCTTGGCTCCCAGTTCAAATGCTTTCCGATTATCTCTCTCACACACTCTGCACCTAATCCATTCAACTGCCTTCTTTTTTGTTTGTTTGTCTCATAATTTATCTGCAAAAGGTGTGCTTGCATCATTACCTATAAATTATCTTATGAAATTTCAAATATTAAATTCTAATGAACTGTTTAAAGAAATATGTATATATAGATAATTAGAATTTATAAAATTATTATACAATTCATAACATCATTTTGTTACTAAAGTAAATTATAATTAATATTTTAAACTAATAATTGTATTGAATTGTAATATATTTGGTATACTATACTCTTATACTATATTATCAATCAATTAATTCTTGTGAATTTTTGAAAGATTTATTAAAAATTTACATTTATTTCCGAAATTAGTAGTAAATCATAGAATTGTGTGCATTTTAGTTCATTGAAGCTTTTAGTTTGTTATAATTAGTTAATAATATAAAAGATGTCTTTTTTTTTGTAAATCTTAAACGATAAATTTTTATTATCCTCGATACTTCAAACGCTGTCTTTTATGAGTAAATCTGCGAAAGCTATTACAATTGTAAAGAGCTGATGTCCATCTTCCAGGCAATAAAACCTGCGTTCACTTGACTCCATCCTCAACATCAAGGGTATAATAGACATTCCTTTTTAATTATCCCGAACATCGGAAGGATTGCGTGCCCTGCGGTACTCGACAACTGAGCTTTCCCCCAGGCACTTAAATCGCTCCAATTGTCTTGTCGATGGGACATTTCAACGGAAAACTAACTCTCAGCAATTTCCTCCGACAAAACATTTCAGACAATTTCAATTGACTGTACTGAGTAAATCATTTGACATTTTGTTTACTGAAAGATTGAAATGGATTGTTAAATGATAATACCAGTAATAGAACCTCGAGGAATGCCTGCATTGTAAATGTTATGATACTTGCGACTTGCGCAATCCTAGGTCTTCGGTAGATCGATGAATGTGTAGCTTTTGTGTAATACTCCTGAAACTGCGGAGAAGAAACCCGTGATGTAATTACTTCGCAGACTGTATTAAATCAATAGTTTCCATTGGAATAAACCACAGTTCACTCAAATGCTTTGATCGCAAACGTTTGCTTCAAATATGTATATTTTACCAGTAATAGAATTCGATAGAATTTTCAATATTTCTATTTTCATTTCGATAGTTTTACCACATCAAATCTAATTTTCGTTTATTTCATCAAAATTTATTCTTTATTCTTTAAACAAATTAGTAATTATTTATTTAAAGTCTCAAAAATTTCAAAGATATGCTGAAAATATCTGTGTTTTTTTTCGAAACTTAGAGCAAAATAAACAAAATTGAACTACCTGTAAATTTATATAATATTTATTTTTTTCTTGTAGAATCTGTAGTTGCGACACGATTTGAATGAGATAGGTGTCTTAATGCAAAGTAAATAAGAGAAATAAATAATCACAAGGGCGTTTGCATGCCAAAACACAAATCACCAATGACTTTTTGGCACCTGTACCCTTTCGCATTGGCAGTAATATCGGAAATGTTTAATATTAAGTATCGATATATTTTGTGCATATTAAAATAGATAAACAGCGTTAAATCATTTCGAACGTGTCGTTGAAGCGCGTGATTGTGGCGAAAAGGCAGGAAGTGCAGTTTTCTATTTAATACACTTATTTATATTTAAAAAGTTACATTCTTATTTGAGTTGTTTATATAATATAATCTTGTTTACTTAACGCTAATTAAGTATAATTTAATTTAAGCGAGACGACAGACTTTGTTTTGTGAAGTTTTACTGAAATAATTACATTTAGAACTGATTGCTTGACAAAGAATTGTGTTTCTATAATGGCCTAAATTGATACGAATAATTAGATTATTTATAAAATCTAAATCTAATCTAGGTGTGTATAAACGTATTGTTATAAATAACGTTCTGAAATGTAATTTAAGAAAGATTTCCGAACAATGTAACAATAAAGTTATATCTCTGGGAAAATTGGACAAGCGGTGTTATTTTATACGTAACGATGCAAACGTCCTCGAGCAGCGATATCAACCTCATGATTTTATTATGCCTTTTTTTCCCCCCCGATAAAAATGCTCACACAGGACTTTACTGTGTGTACATACATGCATAAAATATACGTACACACAGATTCCTGTCCACTTTGTAGTTTAATTTACGATTGTGTTTGCAAGATTCGTTCCCTCTTGAATGTTTATTACATAGTATATATTTTTCTTTTTCGTGCCTCTAAGTTCTGTTTGTTTTGATGATGACGATGGTTCCTTTGTAGTAGCTGTAGTGGTCCACTGTCGGTAGCGTATTTTTGTTGCGAGCTATTTTTACGTAATTAGTAAAAGCACGAAGAACGAAGACAAGACACACGGGTTGTCTTAATTGTTTATTTTGTTGATTTGTACGAAAGCAAACGACGCTCACAATACACACACTCACACCAAATACATACACACTCTCTTCACATACACTAGTACCGGATGGCCCACATATTTTTTTAGCTTGATTTAATGGTTATATAATGTGCATATTCCTAACTCTGAGACTATTGTGATCATAAAGCAATACATATTTGGTCGAGAGTAATTCTATTATGGGCCATTACGTAGAAACAATGAATCTTAGAAGTTTGTTTTCTATCTTTGTGTTGTTTTTGTTGGATGGATTTATAATTAAAAATGTTGGTTGTGCCTTGCAGGCATGGCTGTGGCGACGCGGTGGTTTTGTGAGAGTGAACAATGTATTGAGAATCTATGGACGAGCTGAAATGCAAAAGGTACACGAGCGAAACCATAGACCTGAAGGAGGTGATTAGTATCGGCGGGAATGCGAGGAAAAAGGTGGCCCGAAGGCGATGGGCGATTCTGGCGAAGGCCCTGAAGGTCGGTGTGCGTTTGTGTTGTATGTGTATGAGGGGAAAAAGAGAGGATGTGTGTGTGTGTGTTTGTATGATTGATTGGGAGATATTAACCAGAGATTTTGTGTATCCTTAGAGCCCGCAGGGGAGCGAACCGTCGAGCCCAACGGACGAGTTCTCGGTGCGGCGCATCTCGTCCTTCATGCTTTTAACCACGCAGCAATTGCAGAGCGTGTCCATAAACAGTTCTGACACTTTCATCGTGAACCAGGCGAAGAAGAGGACATGGTACGCTTACGGGATGGACGTGGACGGAGAGATGTACTCGGTGGTGGTAGGTCACCGTATCCGAACGTTCTCCGCCGAAGATCTGATGGGTTTCAACAACACGGGAAACGTCTGCATCTGGCCGTCGGAGGAGACGCTCACCTACTACATCGGCTCCAATCTGCAGCTGTTCAAGCATAAATCCGTGCTGGAGCTTGGAGGAGGCATGTCCTGTTTAGCAGGTCTTGTCTGCGCCAAGTACGGTAACTGCAGGAGCGTCGCCCTCACCGACGGCAACAAGATGTCCGTGGAGAACGTCCAAGTCAGCGTTTCCGCAAATGATTTACCGTGTCCGGTGACCTGCGGCGTTCTCAAGTGGGGTCAATCTGATGATAGATGGGGTCGGTTCGACGTCATCCTCTGCGCGGATTGCCTCTTCTTCGACGAGGCGCGCGCCGACCTCATCGAGACCCTCTGGGATCTCCTCAGTCGCGACGGTTTTGCCCTGATCATGGCCCCGAAACGCGGCTCCACCCTGGAACATTTCATCGCCCAAAGCACAGCCAAGGGCTTCCGTTGCAAACAGATTGTCAACTACAACAATCTCGTGTGGCAGAAGCACCTGTCCCTGCTCGAAAATTGTGATTACGACGATAATATCCACTATCCTATACTAATAGAAATGACCAAAGTTTAATTGAAGTGACCTTAGTATATCTCTTGTACCGCTTAGTAACATAACGTCATCTTTATACGTGGTGTCCCAAAAAAATAACAATAACTTTACAACTACAAACAATTCCTGCAAATGAACACAAAACGATAAATATTTTGTATACAAACGCTTTATTTAGAATTTACTTTACTTATTCAATACACGCCGGTTTGTGTATCAGATAAATTATTAAACAAAATTGATAGTCAATAATAACAAAAATTGAAAAAAAAAATGTAAAGTTATTTATATTTTTTGGTCACCGCATTTCTCCTAGGAAATATTCACTACATAAATCTAGTCCGTCGTTCTCCATTTCTCTGTTTTGCATCTCTTCGTAATATTGTACCTGTCTGTGATAATTAATACCAATTTCTCATTCATCCGAGTCCTTAAAAAAAAGTAAAAATACTACAGGGTGTTTATTTTCCGTTCCGTTCGTACTTTCCGTTCCTCTGCTACGTTTAGTATAGTTACCACTGTGTCGTTTTTTAATTTTATTATTATCGTTTTTTTTTTTCGTTGTTGTTACATTCGTTCGTAAGTCGTTGTTGTTTATACGTTTTAATAATTTATATGTACCTCCTCTAGAGATTTCCAATTAATCCATTACGTTGAGTGAGTATCGTTGTTAACGCAAAAGCAATAACTTGTATATTTATTGCACTTTACATATACAAACACACATTATACACAAGATATCCTCTTTTTACAAAACAACATTTGTATATAACTGTTCGGTTCCAATATTTGCATACATATCTCGATTATCCGTGGTGCCCTACAAATTTGCGCGAATTGTAAATGATTTATCGCCCTCATAACATATCTAATATTTATGATGTTTCTATGGTAATTGTAACGTGAATCTACTATGCAAGTTGCGTAATGTAGGTAACTATGGTAACTGTGTCGTAAATCAAAATTTTTGAACCTTCCATTCTATCATCAGACCAATAACAATATAAATTAATACATCAATTTTATTTTACATTTTTGACTAAATAAATCAAAAACGTTCATTATGTAAGAGCAATATATCAAATTTTATTATTTGACGAATGGAAGCAAAATTCTATTATTAAATATTTCATTAAACCATATAATATTTCTGTTGACTTTTGTGACTTAGTAACTATGGTGATAACCATAATAATGATGATGTTTGAACTATTTGTAGATCGATTGGTTTAGATGTTTTATCGACTGAAAAATAATTAAAGTAAACTATATAATAATTAAGTATTGAAATTAGCGTCTGATTAACGGAATCAAAAAAAAAATAATACTACAATTGTATGTATCAACTGATGAATGGGATCAAGAAATAAGTATGTTTAATTACGATTTTAAGAAAATTTGGGCGATTGGAAAATGTCTGTTGACGCAAATGAAATGATGTCTTTTTTTTGCGTAGAAGGGAAAAGCGTGACAAGATCTTTAATTGAATGCAATCTCGGCAATTGCTGTTCACGCACGGATAATCCTCAGAGTTGGCACGGCACGGATAATCGCGTTTACGTCTTGAAATAAATATATCAATTGTTGAAATGCACACACACAAACACATTTCTACACAAACATACAGCGCGATTGGCACAGCCAAGTCTTGATATATTCGACTATAATTAAAATATCATCTTCCTGTATACAAGAGAAGGAGAAACTTATTTAAAATTATAAATATCACCTATCTAATGAGAATTCCTACGAAGATGTTTCGCACACTTGTATACCTCGCCCTTTATGTAACAAAATAACTTGTAACAATTTTACGTGTAGTTTAATCTTCTATATCGAATCGATTGTTGATTTCGTTTGTTGTATGTGATTGTGTCTACTTTCGGAATTGAAAAATGTGGAAGTTTTAGGTGTCTTTGGCTCAATGCAAGTATTTTGTAAAACATTGTTATTATACCACACAAAAAGAAGATGAAAGAAAACAAAACTTAAATGTATTATTATTATTATTGTAATGAAATTATTAACTCAAAACTATATATATATATCTATATACATTATACAAAAATTAAAGTGTTTCGGATTAATAGACTTAATTATTGTTGTTAATACAAATATTATTATTATTATTATATATCATTGTAATAAATGAAATAAAGATATTTAAATAAAAAAAGTATCTTGAAATTTTTCTGTCCCTTATAAATAGAACAAGTATTAGGGCTTTCTTTGTAATTCAGAAGACGTCATTGATTATTTGTTGGTTCTGGTTTATTTCGAGTCGCGATTGATGAGGATCAAATTTTAATAAACCGATTGTCGGAAAATATTTACGCTCTTCGCTGGACGTTCAATCAAAACGTCCGAACTGTTAACGAGGAACGTGGCTTTCCTCGCGCTGTTTACGCAATCATTTATGTCCGCCGTATAATATTTACATCGGGGTTGAAATTGATTAACGATAAACGTCGACGATTACCTTAAATTATGGTTCACAAACTGCGCTGTTTTTCATCATTATTTTTTTTTATGTAACATAAAAGAAAAACACACACACACAGAAAAAAGCGTTTTGTACATTTCTCATAAGCTACTGTTTTTAACATACTGAACTGTATAAGTAAATTTGTTCTTGTAACAATGATAATATGTAACCTTAGTTACATAACAACGTCAAATTCATTTGTTTGAATCATTAGTTAACATTTTGTAACTTAAGTTG